AAATGGCTATAGAAATAGTGGATTTTCCCATTAAGAATGGTGATTTTCCATTGCGAACTGTTAGTTCACCAGAGGGTAGATTTTATGCTGCTTCAGCCCAACAGGATCATCCTGTTGGCTCTCTCTTTCTCTATATCCTGGTTATTCAATTCCTGGTTATGTATAAAACCCTATAGTATATGTATATCATCAATTCCTGGTTATTCAATGAAAACATCCCCATCATATCCCCAGATTTTTCCGATCACAACTATTCCTGGTCAACCATATTAATCATACAATAATCTGGTTGGTGGTTTCACCCCCTCTGAAAAATATGAAAGTCAGTTGGGATTATTATTCCCAATATATGGAAAAATAAAAAATGATCCAAACCACCAACCAGTAATTCTCATTATCCCAGTGAATATCCCAATGATTGATGGTTTATAGGAAAGGTTACGGTGAAACCAAATGGTATCATATTACATTCCATTACATCCCATTACATCCCATTACATCCCATTACATCCCACTACGTCCCACTACATCCCGTTATATCCTAATGATATTTCATGATAAACCCCCAGAATGTCATTTTGTTGCTTTATCTCCACCAATATCAATAAAATATATGCCATATTATCACCATAAAATTGGCAAAAATGCTATGGGACAAAACCTTAATCTCCTCCCAAAAAGTAGCTGGTAAATGGATGTTATCAGTTTGGACCCATTTCCATATCCCCATATTTTGCGACATTTTCTTGGAACAAGCCCACGTGAGGCCTTAAGAGCACCCCTAACCCATCTCATGAAATACATTTCTTGGTTGACAACGTTTTTTTTATGGGATATCATAATCCCAAACCTTACTAACATTAAATCATGTAGTATAAGTCTCTATATCAACCCAGCAACCAGATATTTTCATGGCTCACAGCGTGTGTCCCCGTGGCGTTGCGCCCAGTCTCCAATGTTCGCTTCAACTCCCGCTGCCATGACTTGCTTCAACAGGATCACCTAGGAGGTCAGGAAGTTGGTAAAATCCAATCCCCAACCTGTGATGTGTTCATGTGTCCTATCACCTATCTTTTTGGCGGTTATGTGTGTGTGTGTATGTATGTAATGTGTTTATGTATGTAATGCAAATGTAAATGTAATGTGATGTGATGTAATGTACCCTCTGGTAATTTAACATAGCTATTGAAAATGGCCATTTATAGTGGATTGTCCCATTGAAAATGGTGATTTTCCATAGCTATGTTAGTTTACCAGAGGGTAATGTATGGCCTATGAGTCAAAACCCTGTACCTCTGGTGAACATCAAAATAGGTGGAAAAAAATGTTTGTTCATCTCCAAAAATATGGCACCTTTGGGTTTTGACCTATCCCCAAAACAGTGCGTTGAAGTCAATTGTCAATCCTTAGTCGGGATGGAAAAAGAAAATGGACCCAAAATTTCATCAATCAACATGTTCTCAATTGTTTTATGTGTTGGTTTTTAGAGGAGTATACTAGAAATACTATGGGTTATAATGTTGGTAAAGCAATGGCAAACCATTCCCTTCATAAAGATATAAACTATCAACAAATAGCTGGTTACTGCTCTACTAACATTAACAAATTTCAGACCTGTCGTTTTCAATTTGACGCCATGACCGCGTTGTGGATCCTTCATATCCTTCGTCCAGTGGCAGGTACATACTTTGACCACGCAATCATCGCCTCGGCCCAAATCGGTGGCTTAAACAGCTGATATGAATGGTGGCTTTAGTGCTATGGTGGCTATGAATATAACTATGGTTCATCGGCTATGAACAAGAATTCTCATGGTTTTTTCATATCCCCATTTGTTAGTGGCTTCAAATCGCTATAAATGGTGGCGTCAAACCTTTGTTGAGTTGGTAAATATTGGCTGATTGGTTGGTTAAACCATCGCATGTTTCGATAAAATACAAAGGGAAAATTCAACGAAAGGATCGTGTATGCTGATCAAAGCCATATTTCAGCTGAACAGTTGCTTAAGTTTCAATTTTTGCTGGTCAAATCCGAATTGCACTTGAGCGGTGTTCAAACCCAACCATCATTGATCAATCATATCACCATATTATTCATAGTTCAATCCCAGTAAAAAGCTGGTTCAATGACCATTAGCCTCTGGTAATCAAACATGGTTGGTTGGATAAACCCTTAGCATCCTTTAGCCTATAGTTCGACAATTTTCCTAGTTCTGATAAACCATGATTAATAGAGATGCTTCAATTCCCATTACCACATTATATATCCATGGCAACATTATCATATTAAACCATATTACCATATTAGACCATATTATAATATCCATAGTTAAAGCATTGTTACATATCCATGTATATATAATCTATATATATATATCCATATTATGGTAATAATGAACCACAAGTTAGATCTCTACAAATCACCAGTTCTCCACCGAGTTCGCCACCGGTTTTCGTAAAACATCTGTGACCCGAGCCGACTCTAGGAGACTCATGGCTCTCCGGAGGCCCAGGAGCTCTTGAGCAACCTGAGTCACGGGCATCTGTTTTAGAAATGTGTTTTTCAAATCACCATAGAGATTTTGTTGTTATAACCATGTGTGTGTATGTATATATATATATATATGTTCAACATTGTTTAACAACGCTGGTTGTAAATAGTATTGTTTACTAGCAATTTATAGAACCCTCGTTTAATATCTATTGTACTTGTTATTTGTTTTAACAAAACTGATACTCCAAATGGAGATTTAACAGGGATAATGATGACAATCCATAGGATTTTGTAGTACCTCATGTTCCTATAAACCCACGTAGCTTGTAGTGTTTCTTCTTTATCCTTTTGGAATCTTGTGTTGAATGACTAGTCAAGTTTGTCTATTGAATACAGTAATGTAGCCTTTAGGCTGCCAATTTTATCGGAACTTAGGGATACGAATTGGCAAAGTTAGAAATGTCACTAACCAAAATAGCTTTGAACAAAATGGGTGAAATCAATGGATTGTTTTTTTTGGGAAAAATTGCAGGAAAGCCCCATTTTTTTAATGAAAATCGATGCTTTCCGGTGAAGATTTTTGGGACCTACCAATCCATTGAATGAAAATCATCAGGTTCTTGGGACATTTTTCCCTTTTTTTTCAGAAATTCGGTTTTTCGTCGGGTCACCGGCACCGGCGCAAAGGCCTTGCACTTGCAGCGCCTTTTCCGGGGAAAACATGGACAGCGTTGGAAACAGGAAAAACATCGAGTTCAATGGTGAAATAGTGGATTTTCATAGGAAAATGTGGGAAAAGCCACTATTAAAATTGTCATTTTGAATAATTTAAACTTATTATATGGTAAGTGTTTAATGGTCAATATATATTTAGTAAGATTATATGGTAAGTTATAAATCGTGGGGAAACCATATATGCTCCGCTGAATTTACCATCTATAAACCTCCATTTCGGTTAAGAAACGTTCTTGGAAAATCATCGAGTTAGTTGCGAACGGGATCTACTGGGATGCTGTGAACAACAAAACCCCTGGTTGTTTCCCTCTGGTAAACATACAAAAAACTATGGAAAGATCCACCATTTTTAGGTTCGCAAAAAATCATCGAAATAAATAATCCCAAGCCGGACATCTACGTGTAAGTCGTAGGGAAAAAGTACCCTCTGGTTATGTCAACAGTTTGCTATTGAAAATGACCCAGTCGAAATAGTGGATATTCCCATTGAAAATGGTGGATCTTTCCATAGTTTTTGTATGTTTACCAGAGGGTACTCTGAATGGGATGAAACCCCAAATGACCATCCTCTAAACTGACCAGTCCCACGGCATCCTCGAATTGATCCTCCAATGTTGCTGGCTTAAAATCATCCATGTTCATCCACCAGGTTAAGAATAAGGCCTCAGTAATCCCACTTTTTTCTGGTGCCCCCCAGTTATGTTTGTTGGTGTTGAAACGACAGTAACTGTTATCTACCATAAACATGTTAGTAACTGTGGTTAAATCATGTTACATCATGTTAAACTACCACAGATAGCATCTACCAACCACAGTCAATAAGTTTGATCTACCATAGAATTAAATCCCATATATATATATATACCATATATTCAATAATGATAGTCCTATTATATTCCTATAATGATTATATATGATATATGATATATATATATCCCTATATCCTATAATAAATATATTTAACTGAGATATAATATATTTCGTGTCCCATTCAATCCCTATTTTAAAAAAAACTATGATATCCCTATAATGTCCCTATAATGTACCTATAATGATAATATATTCCATTAAATGGGATATATTTCCATAGCTATGGGATATTCCGTATTCCTATAATGATAATATTCCTATAAATCAGTTAGTTAAATCATGATAATGATAATATTCCTATATTGTCCCTATAATGATAATGATATTACCCTCTGGGTATTTAACGTAGCTATGGAGAATCACCATGTTTAATAGGTAAATAATCAAAAACATCTACAGATGGGCCATTCTCCATGGCTACGTTAAATAACCAGTGGGTACCTATTACATTCCATTAAATCAGTTACCCTCTGGTAAACGTTTACATAACCATGGAAAATCACCATGCTATTAATGGGTAAATCAACAGTAAATGGACATGTTCAATAGCTAACTGTGAATGTTTACCAGAGGGTTACTGATAATACCATTCTCAATACCTACAATGATAATGATATTAGAATTAATACCTATAATACATGAAAATACCTCATGATAATTGTATAATGTTATTGTACTGATAATACCTATAATAATCATTCCTATTTAGCCATTTAACCCATTTTCCCATTATGATTCCCCATAGGATATTACTTCCTATTTAAATCCTATTTATTCCCAATAATATTCCTATAAATCACTTAAATCCATGATAAATGATAATATTCCTATATTCTCCCTATGATGATAATGATAAATCCTATAATAACATGCCATTCAATCAGCAAAAATCATGCCCCGATCCTGGTCTCAGCATCTTCCTCCGCAGCCTCCTGCACTGGTTCCAGCCTCGGAAACCAGGAGATCATGGGGAGATCAACGGATTTTCTAGCTGAAACATGTGGGAAAAATGTGGGAAAAATAGAGGAAAATCATGGGAAAAATCATTGGAAAATCCTAGGGAAATCATTGGAAAATCATGGGATAACCAAGAAAAATATTAGAAAAATAGAGGAAAAACATGGGAAACACATGGGAACATCCACTTTTTAAATGAGGGGTTCATGGGATGTATAGCTGGCTTATGATAGCTAAGTTGACGCACATAACTTGGATAGGGTTTGGGTTGATTGGGGGGATATACCCTCTGGTTATGTCAAAATAGCTATTGAAAATGGCCATAGAAATAGTGGATTTACCGATTTACCCATAAAAAATGGTAGATCTGTCCATAGTTTTTTGTAAACGTTTACCAGAGGGTAACTATATATATTTGATGGCGTTTATAAACCAACAAACATAACTGGGGAACCTCACCTTATATAAATCCAGCAATATGACTAGTGAAGCCGTGCTTTTCATCGTCTGTGTTGGCTTCCTTTCGGACAGTGACATCAACGTTACATCCCATGGTGTTCTGAAGTGGAGTTTTTTTGTACAGGGTGGTTTACCCCAGCTATCTTTGTTGGTTTAGTTTCACCCATCTAGATCATCTAACTAATGTGGGTAAAACAATCTCATTTGCACCATCCTCCAGAAAAATCATCAATTTTTTTATCGGTGGTATAAACTTACCATTCCCGGTCGACTGGGTGGTTTATTAAACCATTGTTTTACCCACATAGAAATATCTATGAAAACGAACAAGTTCACCCAGTTCAACTGCGGCAGGATATCAGGACCACTTCACCAAGGTCTCGGTCTTTCGTTATAGACCATTCTTCGGACCTTGTATGAATAACACAACATATTATATGGGTGTGATACATATATATATATACAGTATATATATATACGACCATATCATTTCCACCCATTTTGCTGGTCCATTTTGATATGAATCTTCCGTTATCAAAAATTACATATTGATATCTAAATATACATTTACATACAAAATATCATGTCCACATATCCCCTTCTGTTCATGGATCTTCAACCCCCGATGATGGAAAATAGAATTGCTGATCCATACCCATTTATTTACCAGTATAAACATGTTGTTAGTTATAGATATATATATATATATGTGCCCAATAAATCATGTTGTTGTTTATAGATCCCATAAATTCCCATTGTACACCCATTATCTGTTGACATAAATCCCAGTAAATCGGGAACATATTCTCGAATTCTTAAAGAATGCCGTAACAATGTTCCATATTCAGGGATATCAATCCTTGTGCGACAAAATATCCATATTCCCAGCCAATTATACCCTCTGGTAAACGTTTACATAACTATGGAAAGATCCACCATTTTTAATGAGAAAATTCACTATTTCTATGGCCATTTTCAATAGCTATTTTGACATAACCAGAGGGTAAGCCATCCCCATCACCATAAATGGGTTGGATTGAAACTCTCCCGAATGGTAGGTTTATGACATTGGGTGAATACTCCATGAAATTCCCATCTGTTATTGTACTTACAATTCAGCCACATGTGTATGTATATATTTTGTTTTATGTATACAATCATGTGTATATATATATATATTTATATATATATATACGTATATATCCCCACTCTATTTCCATTACACCCCTGTCATACCAGCATTTTTCTTGCTTAAATTATCTCAAATCCTTCCAAGAAAATTCGAGAAGAACACCTTGGCGCCCGCACTTTCTGAAGGACGAGCTGGCCGTAATGAGCTCGATGAGTTTCATGGCGTTCATGTCCTAGGCCCAAAAATCGGGATGTCACGAAAAAAATGGTGGCCTCCTGTGAACGACTACATTTCCAGACACAAAAACAAATATTATATGATTATATAATTGACATTACATATATAGATATCCCATATTACTATCATATATATATATAGTATAGATATCCCGTATTACTTACCGTATTACTATCATTGTCTATCCCATATCTCATGATATACCCTCCTTTTTACAGGTTTACTAATAGATTCGTGGAAACCTATGTGTAGATCATTGTCCAAACGGGCAACCAGCCGGGTTTTCTACATCGTTTTGTACACGTTTACCCTTGGGGGTAGGTACCCTCTATAGATTGCTACCCCAAAAGAGACCATTTAAATGACTTGCTATCCTCCGGTCATCTGTTTTACTTCGCAATCCGGTTTAGCGATAGTTTTAATCCATGGGACAATCAAAACATGGTTATTAATGTTATCAACAAGTTAAAACTTTCTATAGTTCGATGATCAAACCCTTTTCAAAAAAATGGTGATTTTCGATTTCCACCAGTTGCATCATGTTTTTGTTGTGCCAAGCCACGTCCATCAAGTCCCACAAGGGATGGAGGCAGTTGTTGCTGGACCTGGTGTAATTCCCACGGCTCGGCTCGATTTCTTGGAGACAATTGGAAGGACTTGGCGATGATTTCATCATGAAAAACTCAAGAGAGACGTGTTTGAAATGGGGAATGTTTCTTGATGAAGATAGTAAAATGCTATAAAAATTGAGATCAGATATTCATGGATCCCCATATTTTTTGGATGATTTGAGATGGTAGAACTAGGTTTTTTATGGGAAATATATATATATATGAAAAACACCATGGGAATTCCACCAAAACCATCCCCAGGGTAACTTCGGCACTGACGAAACCAGTGAGAAAAACGCGAGAGGAACCCTTCGGGACAGGGCCACTAACGTTGGATGTACCATCTGGTTATGACTAACATAGCCATGGAAAATCCCAACCATAAATGGAGGGTTCTAGCTGGGAAAATCATCTATTTCTATGGGCCATCTATACCATGGCTATGTAACAAACAACCAGAGGGTAGTTTAGCTAGTTTTCACATGAAATCCATGGAGTTTCCAGGGTTTTGACATGTTTTGACCCAAATCCCCACGGATTTTGTTGCCTTTTTTTGATGTCTCCACTTAACCAACCCAGACATCCCATTCCACAGCGTCCGACATGTGCATGATGTCTGCAGAAAAGTAGAACATCAAAATGGCCAGCATCGCCACCACCTGCAAAAAAAGCTGGGAATTTCTCATGGAAATACCATGGGAATTATGGGGAAAGCAAGCAATGGCTATGGATTATGACCCTGGATTTAATGGAATATCTATGATGTCGTGAAAAAATTTGACCCATGGTAGCTTAAGATAGCGGAAATAGCTCTATCATGGAGTGAATGGATATCAATCAATATTCATGGGAGATATATATATGTGTGTGTGTGATGTGTCCATGTTTTAACCAGCCAAAATGGGGGTTTAAACCAACCGTTTTATGGGAATATCATGAGAAGTAGCCAGGTTATAGAATTGAGATTTGCCAAAACTAGGATTTCCCATATGTTTTCCAAAATTCAAAAAATCTAGAAAATGTTGTGATTTTTTGGGACTCCGGAAGCTAATAGAAGCCAATGGTTCTCTCATTGAAGCCAGGAAATAGATGATATTTTCATGAAACCACCTGTTTTCCATTATATATCATATCATTATATATCCATAATAGATGATATGAAACCACCTTGTCACGTTTTCTGCTGAGATCTCAGGTGTTCAAATCCGACCAGCAAATTCGCTGGTTAAATTCAGTCAGTTCAATCCGCGATGGTTTTTGTTGGTTGAAAAATCGTGTTTCCTCTCCAACCCTCTGGTTATTTAACATAGCCATGGAAAATCACCATTTTTAATAGGTAAACCATCTATAAATGGGCAATTTTCCATGGCTATGTTAAATAACCAGAGGGTAAATTAAGATAGACCCTGCCAGATGGTTGGAAGATTATGTACGTAGTTTCCATGGAAAATGGATGATCAGATTAGCGTTGATCCCAATGATCATATGAGACTTTCCTGGCTTAACTCGCCATGTGCTTAACTAAAGCAAGCGTCATGACTTTCCAGTGGCCAAACAGTTTTTCTTGAAATTCTGGTCGTAGTTTGTTTAGGAACTGATCTCCAACTGGGAAGCCCCAGCTGACAGTGTGAACTTCAAGCTTTCGGACGCTTCGTAGCGAGATTCCCTCGGAGCCCGTGGATGGTTAAAAATCCTCCGGACCCAGCGATGATGTCGCGACATAAGAAAAATCACCATGACGGCCTTACCCGACCTGGGATTTTCATAGAAAAAACGAACTGGAAAGATCCACCATGCTATCAATGGGTATTCATCCACTATTTCGACTGGGCCATGGCTTCAATAGCTTTTTGTATGTTTACCAGAGGGTAATAGGTAAATATAGCTCAAGCATCTATGAGGCCCATTTTCCGTGACTCTGAGGCCTAGGAATCATCCGAATCCTTTCCTGCTATGAAATCCCCCGTAAAAATCCCGAAACCGAACAGATCCAAGACTACACCATGGTTTCTACCAGGGGTATTCATATTTAGGGGATGGGATTTCCCATCACATCCATGTTCAACATCCCATCCCGACCATCCTGACCATTCTCCCATTTTTTCCGTGATATCCCGTGGATGTTTCGGGGTGTTCTCCACTTGGGTTTGACTGAAAATCGGCTACCCGGCCTGGTAAACGAACAAAAAGCTATTGAAAATTGCCATTCATAGTGGATTTACCCATTAAAAAATGGTGTGATTTTCCATGGTTATGTTAGTTTACCAGAGGTAAACCATCCCCATCACCATAAATGGGTTGGATATGTTGACCATAGAAATAGTTGATTTACCCATTAAAAATGCTGGATATGTCCATCGTGAAATGATGTATGTTTGCCACACAGTACCCAATGGTCCCAATGACAAACCCAACCACTTCTATGGATCCGTCTCTCTCCAACAGGACTTTTGAAGGCTGTTCAAGTATCATAATGTCCAAGCCTTCTAAGCCTCAATTGTCTTACTTAATTACATTACATTACATGACATTACATTACATTATATCATATTGCATCACATCACATCATATTATATATTGTACTATGTTACGTTATATTATGTCATATCATATCATATCATATTATATTATATTGTATTATATTATATTGTATTATATTGTATTATATTATATTATATTGTATTATATCATATTATATCATATTATACTATATTATACTATACTGTGTGTGTCCTTAACATCCAGTAATTATATCCCATGATATGGAAATATACATTGGTTGCTGATTTAAAACCGTCCCAAAAATATGCGTCATCTCAACCAATGATCCCCAAGTATGGTTGAAAAACAATAAATACTCTGGCAATCTATTTGATATCCTCTGGTAAACTAACATAGCTATTGAAAATGGCCATTTATGGTGGATTTATCCATTAAAAATGGTGATTTTCCATAGCTATGTTAGTTTACCAGAGGGTATCTATCCAGAATATCTACAGTTTCTGGCATCTACAGTATCATCTAGTTTCTAGCTGGGAAGATCAACTTTATTCTTCATCAAACATACCCAAGATCACAATGGAAAATCTCTCTACAGTTGATCTTCCCAGCTAGAAACCTCCATTTATAGATTTTCGAGGGGATCTTCCAATGTTTTTTCGATATTTTCCGATGATTTTCCCCTATTTTCCAAAGCCGATTTGAACCCCCCAGTACTGCTCAGCTGGTGACTCGTGGATGTCGAACACAGCGAAGGTCTCGAAGTTGCCCAACTGTGTTTGAACGACGCGAGGCGTTAAGGCTGGGTGGCATAAGGTAAGGGTGGCGTGGCTTGTGCTGTTCTGAGGTTTTCATCATTCTCAAGGCCCTTCACAAGCCTCTACCCTCTGGTAAAGATACAAAAAACTATGGAAAGATCCACCATTTTCAATGGCTAAATCCACTATAAATCACCATGTTCAATAGCTATGCTAGACATCACCAGAGGCTAAATTCAGGGCTGTCTAAATTTGGCACAAAAAGACGTGGCCCAGTGAACTCTTGGAGATACGTTTCACCAGTTTGTCTGGCGGAGCCGTATTCTTACGGCTACTTCCCAGTCGTAGTCAAATATAAGATTATATAAGATTAGATAAGATTATATTATAAGACTATATAAGATTGTATAAGATTATATAAGATTGTATATCCCAGTAATCCCAGTAGTAGTCAAATATAAGATGATAATCCCGTTTTATGACTATAATCCCGTTACCCTCTGGTAATTTGTTACATAGCTATTGAACATGGCCCATAGAAATAGATGATTTACCTATTAAAGATGGTGGATCTTTGGTGATGTTCCATCGTTTTTTGCTAGTTTACCAGATGGCGGATGGTAATCCTAATACTAATCCTCATTCGTAAGATTATAATCCCTATATAAGATTGTATAAGAACTATATTAATCACTACAATAACTTATATATTCCACTATATTAACATTAAATCATAGTTTAAATATCATATCATTATATAGTTCATATAGTTCACTATAGAGGTTTTAATATTATAATACACTATGTTAATTAGTTCACTCTAGTTACATGATAAGACTATCATACACTATAAGACCATAATATATATATATATATTCACTATATATACTATATTAATATAGTTAACTATATATATACACTTTCCAGTAATTATATCCCATGATATTCCAGAATATTCCATCCCTATTACTGTTGGTAAAGACTCCATTTTACCTATATAAATAATCCCATATATATATATATCATCAACTATTACTATGACCATTTTCAATAGCTATGTGTGTTTACCAGGCCGGGTATATTAACTATATACCCTCTGGTAAACAGCCACATCACCATGGAAAATCACCATGTTTCATGGGAAAATTCACTATTTCAATGGTGATTTTCCATAGTTATGTAACAAATTACCAGAGGGTAATCCCCCTTTTTTAAAAAAATCCCGGCCGACCGTTGCTCACCAAACGCTCACCTGCACCTGTTCCAGGAGAGTCTCATGGATCTCGAAACCTGGCAGATCTGAAAGACAGCCCGATCCCTTGGGAAATCAAGGGATGATGGGATATGACCCTCTGTTAATGGGAAATATATATATATACCATATAGCATCCCATTAATTGTTGGTTATATATGGTTATATATACACCATTATATATATATATACACCGTTATATATATATATAGATATAGATATAGATAGATAGGTAGATAGATAGATAGATACCCGATATATATATATATAGAAAGATACCCGGCCTGGTAATTTGTTACAATCCATCCTCCACGAAATGGTGAGATTGGTGGAGATTCGGTGAAATGGTGGAGATTCCAGGCGTTTAGCCAGGTTTGATAATCCCAAAGGCTACCCTAAATGGTTATGTCTAGCATAGCTATTGAAAATGGCCATTGAAATAGTGGATTTTCCCATGAAAAATGGTGGATCTTTCCATAGCTATGTTAAATTACCAGAGGCTACCCTAAATGGTAATGACTAACGGTTTGCGAAGTGGAAAATGGCCCAGTCGAAATAGTTGATGAATACCCATTGAACTCACATGGTGGATCTTTCCAGTTCGTTTTTTGTAAACGTTTACCAGGCCGGGTAGGGATGGGAGGATGATGATAGGGATGATGATAGGGATGATGATAGGGATGATTTCATAGTTATATTTCCTCATTTTGGATGGGATGAACAAATCTAGGGATGATGACAGAAATTGATTCAGAAAACCATGGTAATTCATTTGGAATAGCCTATTGATGCAATTGATTTGGAAATCACCTACAAAAACCTGGTAAACCGGAGGTGTTGAATAGTAGGATGTTTTTTTCATAGCTATCATTGGGATATCATAAGGTAAAAATCCAACGAAATGGTGATATTTACATGGGATATAACTCACCAACAATATCCAACAATATGATTGGAATTGTTGGGGGATTTAATGATGGTTGTTATACACCATTAATGTGACCAGTTTTTATCATGATTAATCATGGGATTTTTCTAACTGAAAAAACCCATGGCTATGATTTTCATGATTCATGGATCAATGATGGGATTTGTGTCTTTTGCCAGCAATTCATGGGATGGATTACCCTCTGGTAAACATACAAAAAACTATGGAAAATCACCATTTTTCATGGGAAAACTCACTATTTCTATGGCCATTTTCAATAGCTATTTTGACATAACCAGAGGGTACCAATGTCATCAGACATGGCTAGCTGGAAATTGCCGAAGTTTCCATGGGGCTTTTCTTCGCTGGTTCTCCAGCGATCGACCAATGGTCCAAAACCCTCAGCGATGGAACTATCATCTGGTTATGTCTAGCATAGCTATGGAAAATGGCCATTGAAATAGTGGATTTACCTATTAAAAATGGTGATTTTCCATAGATTTTCCCATTAAAAATGGTGGATCTTTCCATAGTTTTCTGTATGTTTACCAGAGGGTATCATCTTACTGGTGCGTGCGTTTTACGCAGGGAATTTGAGGGAATGATCCATAATTCATCACATTCTTAATGTCATCATCCCAGCAACCCCCAGCAACCCATCCAGCAACCCTACGCAAAACGCACCAGTAAGTCATTGTTGATCTCCAAAAATCCGAAGAATCGATCGAACATTTTGCAAAAAAACAAAAACTTGGGATTTATGCCATATCATGCCATATCAATATCACCAGGATATACTTGGATGTGCGTAATGGTTTCCCCCAAAATAGAAAGATATTCACTAGATTCACTATAGATTCTCCAGTGGTCCAGTCATGGTGGCTTTTCCAGAATCCTATGCGCCACATCTTCCCATCGTCCATCGTTTTGGCGCCTGTGAGGTCGATCGTATCCTCGATCAAGGATAAGGCCTGGCAGATATGAAGCGTGATGAGTGGTGGGAAAATCTTCGAGAAATGCTGGGTTAAATCTACTATGATAATAAATATCAAATATCACATTAGATTTATTATATATAGTAGATAATATATATATATATCATATAACTGGGTTATATACTATTATAATGGGTTATATACTATATATTATATATAACTGGGACAATATATATATATAATCTACTATGGCATAAATATAATAATCTACTATGATAATAATGGGACAATGGGATAATGGGATAATACCATCTGGTTATGACTAACATAGCCATGGAAAATCCCAACCATAAATGGAGGTTTATCGCTGGGAAAATCATCTATAAATGGGCCATCTATACCATGGCTATGTTAAATAACAAGAGGGTATATAATATAATATAATATAATATAAATCTACTAGTCATATATCTATGATATTTTTGGGTAGGTACATACTAACCATAGTATATGGGAATCTCATGAGCATCATTGGGATTTACTTGGCCATATATAAATCTCATGAGAAGAATTGATTTATTTACTGAGGCTATGGTATCATGAACCTCATACTTTGATGATCATGGGATATCTCATGCTACTAATGGATACTTGGTATTTCATGGTGGTATATTAAATCCACCATGTGTAGAGGGGGTATAAAGCCAAGTATAATAGTGGGATATCGTGGGGATATAGTGGGATAAATAACTTTGATTTACCCAACCAGAATGATGGGTTATGATGGGTGTATTTGTTTGCAATGGGGGACATAAAACCAATTCTAGTACTATAGCTGTAATAATGTGATTTTTAATCTGGAGGTTTCTAGCTATGGAGGTGTCTAGCTGGGAAAATCATATGTCATTATATATATATATATATGTATGTAGCCTTAAATATCATTTTATAAATAACATTACATATATATATATATATCCCATATTACTATCATTGTCTATCCCATATCTCATGATATGCCCTCCTGTAAACGTTTACATAGATGTGGAAACGCCACCATCTGTAGATTATTGTAGGAAATGCTGGGTCTTCCACATCTGTGTAAACGTTTACCCCAGGGTAACCATATTCTTATTGTTTCTCAAATGTGTTTACCCTCTGATAATTTAACATAGCTATTCCAAATCAATTACCACGGTTTTCCGAATCAATTTCTGTCATCATCCCTAGATTTTTTCATAGGATTCCTAAAAATTATATCATCTGGTTATTTTACATAGCCATGGAAAATGGCCCATTTATAGATGGTTTACCTGGGTTTACCTTTTAAAAATTGTGATTTTCCATGGCTATGTACGTCATAACCAGAGGGTAAGTTGTGTTGGGATAAAATCAATATCTTAATTCGAGGATATACCGGGAACAATTACTATAAACAATTGTTGGGTTTACTATTGTGAACAATTACATCTATATAGGTGTATTTATCTCAGAAAATAACCAAATCAGAATTGTTTGTCATACGTGGTTTACTAATTATATTGTTTTCCTATTACAAAATATAAACTATAATTGGTTGATGGAGATATCAGATAGCCAAAAAATCTGATATCGATACTTGCGGGTATCTTGATTTACCATCTGGTTATTTAACATAGCCATTGAAAATCACCATTTTCAATAGGTAAACCATCTATAAATGGGTCATTTTCCATGGCTATGTTAAATAACCAGAGGGTATACTGACTGACAAACAGTGACTAGTGATAACAGGTGATCCCACAATGCTTGGGGATATTGATAGCCAACAGCTGTTTTTAAAACTGCTCACATGGGGGGTTCCTGCAATAGGGGTACCCATAGTCATCATCCATGGTAATGGTATTTTCCATTATAAGCCATCCACTTGTCATACCCCCATCACCATGGAAACCCCCACATGATCTAGTTGGGTTTTTCCCCCACTCAAAACCTCCATTGAGCACGTGGATTTGCCATGATTGATGACCTTGTTGGGGAGTCCGCTTTATGATATCACGCATAGAAGTTGAAGCATTGAGATTTGGGGATGTTCCTGAAAAAAAAATGTGGTCCGTTTTCAGCTTTCATGCGTGATAGGACAGAGTGAACCTAAAATTAAAGTGCTACCCTCTGGTAATTTGGTACATAGCAACTGAAAATGGCCATAGAAATAGGTGATCTACCCATTGAAAATTGTGGATTTTTCCATAGTTTTTTGTATGTTTACCAGAGGGTACCAGTTGGGCACTTCTTTAAATAGCCTTCAGACCATTCGGGGCTGGCAGTTTATGGTCCACATGACACCAAAAACGCGTCCAAAAACGCGTCTGATGCAGTTTCATAGTCCTGTCGGAATCGATGTTGTTGGTTATAAACATAGTTGAACATATTATATATATATATATATATTCCATTATTAATACACATCGTATCACAATGTCATGGTTGGTTTTACAACATTTTACAACCATGTTTACCATATTTTACCATATGTTCAGAGGCGGAAAAGAGACAAACAACCCCGGAGACACCCCCTTTGTCACATTGAGATTCGCTAACCTGAAAAGTTTGGCCGGTTACACCATACATTCACCATCATTCCAGTGACGTCGCAGTGAGGTCTTAACATAATCTATTCAGATTATGTTCTGTTATATCCCATTGAATCCCGTTAAAATACCATCATCCCATTGAAATCCAGTTAAAATCGTATTAACACATCAAATCCCGTGAAAATCCCATTAACATCCCATTAAAATCCCATGAATATATATATATATATATATGGATGTGGGTCAAAATGGAAGACCTAGGGGACCACAGATGTTAGTCTAGTTTAGTTAAAAAAACATCCAATTATTGGGGTACCCAATTTTTACACATCAAATCCCATGAAAATCCCATTAACATCCATTAAAATCCCATGAAAATATATATATATAAATCCATATACATCCATTAAAATCCCATATAAATCCCATTCTATCCATGTTTATTTTAACCCAACCAGCCCGCCTCCGGCTCGTCGAGCAAGGACCTGTACATGCCACCGCAGCACCTGCACCTCGTTGCAACGTGTTTTTTAGCCCCAAAGACGACTGGGATGTAGAGATTTTCATAGGGATACCATCTAGTAGTTAAATCCCCATAGATGATACAATGGGGCGTTCAATATGATTGGGGGATTGGATTATTCCCATTAAAACACCATTGTTGATGGTTGAATCATGTTAAATCCCCCAACTATCATAGTGTTGGTGATATAGAAGTTTGTTTATAAACTTTTTTGGATATCTCCAGGTGTTGGTTATATAAGTTACCCTCTGGTAGACATACAAAAAACTATGGCAAGATCCGCCATTTTTAAGAACGGGAAACCATCTATTTCTATGGGCCATGGCTTCCATGGCTATGTCAAATAACCAGAGGGTAATTGATTTTACCATGTATCAATGGGAGATCTCCAGGATCCTAAATTGGAGGTACGTTAGTACCATATTTTTGGCCATATTTTCTGGGGATATTCCCTGAAATTGAGGCCTAAAAAATAGGCCTTATATATGGTAGGTACCTCCAATGAATCGGTTCCTGAAATGGTCATTGAATAGGGGTACCCTCTGCTATACATACAAAAAACTATGGAAAAGCGCCATTTTTAATAGGTAAAGCCAGGTAAACCATCTATTTCTATGGGCCATGGCTTCCATGGCTATGTTAAATAACCAGAGGGTACCCCAAATCATCCAAACTCGGACTACTTTAGTATTGAAACATATTGAAAGCCATGGTTTTGGGGTAGCCATATTTGGGGAAACATCCATGTGACTTTTCGAAGATTTTTTAGAGATGTTACTGGGAGATTTTCTCTATTTGTTTGGGGGTTGCTATAATCGATGACACTTTTCGAACCATTTTTCTTTGGGGTTGCTAGTTGCAAAAATTTTATCTTGGGCCTCTGACTTTTCCGAAAAGCTACACATTTCTGACCTTGTTTGGGTTAAGAAAAAACCTGCAGGGATACAAAATTGTGACCACTTCTGAGCAAGTGGTACCACTTGATCTTGTTCCAAAAAAGAGCCAGATGGAGCCTCAAAAAATGGGGAGCCTCCAAAAATACAAAAATCATTCATGTACAATTAATGTTTTACTGATTAGCAATCTATAATGACCCAAGTTCCACAATTTGATCCTACTATTATCCCTTCCCGTAAACTATTTGTAACTGTCCCCAGATCGATGCTCCATGGTGCTGGTATACAAAAATTGGTGATCAATGTGGGGCAAATGTTGATAAAACAATGATGGTCATAAACATAATGGTTGATGGTCAATGACAATGATGGTCAAATCCCCCAAAACATCATGTTGTTGCTTATATCTCCCATTTAATCCCCATTAATGTGGTTAAAACAATGTCATTTGCACCATCCCACAGTCATGACCATTTTTTGGTTGGTGGTATAAACTTACCATTCCCAGTCGACTGGGTGGTTTATTAAACCATTGTTTTTCCCACACATCCCATGATATCCTACTGTTTCGAGCTTTCCTAAACTGGGGGTACCCCAGTTTTAATCCGTTTATAGATGGATTTTCCATCATAAACCAAAAAATGATAAACCAAAAAACGAAAACTAATGAGTTTCTGGTCATACATCATATATGTTCTATATACTATTACATATAGACCAAATAATGATTATTATCCTCTGGTAAATTAACAGTTTGCCATTGAAAATAGCCATTTAGTTCGTTAATTAACGCTTTAAAAAATAAAAATAAACTCGATCTTTCCAGTTCGCGAACTGTTAGTTACTATATGGTGATGTCATGATGTCCCATTTTACCCATGAAAAATGGTGATTTTTCCATATTGAAAACTGCTGGATCTTCCTTCACGCCGACGGCACGTCTCGTTCCACAGCACCCGTTGGTTGATCACCTGGGCCATTCGACGACATGTAGCGACAAGTTATGACTCGTTTAGTATAATATGATAGTATTCTATATGGAATGAATATGGAACTAATATGGAATTAATATGGAATTATATTTAGTATGACTCGTTATTCTATATGGTGATAACGACTATGATAGCATTCTATATGGAATTATATAATAATTATGGAATTATATGATTATATATGGTGATAGTGTTGGTTATATGAGTTATATGGAACTATGACTTATTCTTTTTTGGAACTACTGGTTGGTGGTTGACCTACCCCTCTGAAAAATGTGAGTTCGTCAGTTGGGATGATGAAATTCCCAATATATGTAAAAATAAAATTCATGTTCCAATCCACCAACCAGATATAGTATATCACTCAGTTATCTATTAATATTTTAAGTTATTACGTATGAAAATATTTGAGTGGGATTCAGAAAACTATGTTTAGTGATATATATTTAGTGTATATGTTGTTACTATTATTTGAATTGTTTAAGTAAGTTTATCACAATTTTAGAGGGATTATTTTACTAACTTCTACCTCAGTTTGTAAACGTAACTGTCCTAATGAAACACCAACAAAATGTCGTCACAAATACTTTTTCAGGCGTTCAAAATCTCACTATTGGGTACATTTACCCATGTGGAATCTATGGGAGGAAAGCAGACCTCCAAACATCTCCAAAAGGTACCCTCTGGTAATTTAACATAGCTATTGAAAATGGCCATTTATAGTGGATTTACCCACTAAAAATGGTGGATCTTTCCATAGTTATGTCAGTCTACCAGAGGGTACTTGATCTTAAACAAGCAGAGAGAAAAACCATGGATCACCTTGATCAAATCCCATGAAAACATCCATTAAAATCCCATTAAAATCCCATTAAGACCCCCATTTGGTCAACTTTTTGTGGCACAAAACTTTTTGTTGGGAAAAATATTGGGATTTTAATGGGATTTTCATGGGATTTTGTTGGATTTTTTAATCAATTCAACCGATAGGTGATCGGTAAAAAACTGGTCCTCTGTTGGGAAAAATAAATCGGGAGGGGATTTCCCAGCTCGCCACACAAGAGAGGGTACCATGTCTAAACATAGAGATTTTCCTGTTCGAAATGTTGGGTTATATCTATATATATATAAATGTATATATATGTATATATATCCCAGTAGAAAAGTATCCATGACATATCCCCATTGTTTTTATCGGTTTCATCATATGAAATTCCCGGTATCACCGTGACATTCCACTACTCACTAAACCAAAATCCCCATTCAACATCAACTGCCAGCGCTAAATCCATCATCATTCGTAGACGATTTTCCCAGCTAGAAACCTCCATTTCCATTCTATTTCCATGTTCCATGATTTTCTATGATTTCGTAATTTCAAGATGATCTATATACATATGTATATGTAGATGATCTATAGATTATCGATAGATGATCTATAGATCATCTGTAGATGATCTACCCTCTGGTAAACTAACATAACTATGGAAAATCACCATTTTTAATGGGTAAATCCACTGTAAATGGCCATTTTCAATAGCTTTTTGTCTGTTTACCAGAGGGTATAGATGATCATTGGAATTCCTCAATCTTTAGACAATTTACCCTCTGGTTATTTAACATAGCCATGGAAAATTGCCCATTTATAGATGATTTTCCCAGCTATAAACCCTCCATTTATGGTTGGGATTTTCCATGGCTATGTTAGTCATAACCAGAGGGTATATATATTGTCCCAGTTATATATAATATATAGTATATAACCCATTATAATAGTATATAACTCAGTTATATGATATATGTTGGTTGGAGGGTCACGAAATCCAAACCAAGAGGCTGCCACGCAAAGTGCAGCAAGCGCAAGAAGTTGGGCTGCCCTTTTTGCTATGCCGGGGCAGCAGGCCATGTAGACCATCAGCTCAAAAGCCTTAAGGCATCCCTTAGCCCTAAAATGGGAATTGGGCCGTAGCGGCCACATGTTGGAAAATCATGATATGCAAATGCCACCTGGAATGTGCAAGAATGTGTGGAGCACAATTCACACCGGTGGAAAATGATGTTGGTGAAAAGAAAAAGTGGATCCTAACTATCGCTAAAACGCACCCTGCATGGGGCTTGGCCCTGCTGGGGCTGATTCATCTCACGAGGATCGCACAGCTGCGGCAGGCAGTGAGTGCACCAAGTTCGATGGTAGATCGGCCCAGTCGTGCGATTTCGCAAGCACTGATAGTTGGCATGCCACGCTTGCCCGTACGGAGTGAAGTAGATCTCCTGCTGGGCAGCTTCGATGATCGTCCGTTGGCGGCTATGGTTGAAGTCGCCGATGATGGTGTGCAGGTCCTCGTTGGAACGCTCATAGTCCCGAACCTGGCCTTGAGCTTCATCAAGTAATGCCTCCAGGTTCAACTTCTGCTGAAGGAGGTCGTGCAAGTCATCCATCAAAGGATCGTCATCGGTCTGGGTGGCCATTTCACTGACCTCTGGGGTGTGCGCCTCTTCGAGGTTACTGTCCTTCCAGAGTGCAGTGACAGTTGCCAGCGCCCTTCGTGGCAAAGTGATCATCCACCGGCAGGTGGCAATCGCTCCCATCACCAGGAAGTAGCCCATGACAATGGCCATGATCGTGGTGAAGAGCTCGCCTTCAGAGTCCAGGTAGTTCAGGTTGTAGGTGTTGGTGGTCTTGTTCTCAATCGCATAGGTCTCGTTCAGGTCAAAGTCCATTGCAGCGGCTGCTGAAGTGCAGAAAGCTGCAAACATCGTCGCTGTTGCCGTGCTTGGAGGTTTTCGAATGGCATACTTCTCTGTGCCTTTCTTTCTTTCTGCTGCTGACTTTTTCTTGCTTGCTACAAAGTCTTCGTCGCTTTTTAAGCGGGTCAGGTGGCTCCTCAATCGATCTGCAAGAAGTTGGGCTGCACTGGCTTTTGTGAGTCCATCTGAGTATTGCAACTCCGAACTCACCCACATTGTTGTTGCATTGCAGCAGCGCAACTTGTCTTGGGTTACCAAAACTTCAATTGCAGTTCGCTTGTCCGTGGAGCTTCCAGCTTGAATCTCTTCTCGCACAAGCATGTCAAACAAAGCTTTTGCGTCCACCACAAGCTTCGGCTGGTTGGGGATCTGGGCAGTGCGGATGTCATCCAAAGGAAGCCAGGGGCTCCAAATCAATCGCCAAAAGGTTGTGGCGAAGAGAAGAGCATCAGCGGCTTCTGATGCCGCTTGGCTTTCAGCAGCCAAGGTGGATCTTGACACCCTTGCCAGTTTCCATGAGCGCCAGTCCACAATGTTGTAGTGTCCTTCTCCACCACTGGTGACGTCACGGTGCGTCATGATGAGAAGGTAACCTCCTTGGCTTGAAAGATCATCTCGCGATGCAAATGAGGCATCGGAGTAGCAGGCAAAGGTGACCTCATCCTTGGACCCAAGATGCCTAAACTCCAAACCTGCATCTTGGTTCTGTTTGGCAAAGCGTAAGCACTTGTTGGCGGTGTCCAAGGTGGATGTCGTTGCCTTTGAAATCTGTCCAGCCAAGGTAGACACCATACATTGTAGGTGTGGACTGGTTTGAGTTGCGGGCCATTGAAGTCCACCAACCAATCCCCTCAAGGATGTACGCTCACGGTCCGTGACCTCATCATTTGAGCCATGTCGTTCCTTGGGGTAGGTGATTGGCTTTTGTTTTTTCAGGTACTTCTCATGGTGGATCTTCCAATGGTTGTCACCAAGTTTGGTGATCTGGGCCCCGCAGTACTCCAGCTCATTCTTGTCATTGCTGGTGATCCATTCACGAAAGGTGAAGATGGATTTGAGGTTGTTCAGCAGCTTCTCGGTCTCAGCATCATCCATGTAGCATCCAAAGATATCATCAACGTGGATGCCAAAGAGCGCCAGAAGTCGAGGTGGTTCAGCGCCATCTTCTGGTGGAGGATGTACTGGACGGTCATAGGCTAGGAAGAGGCAGGCATCAAGTGGATGCTGCACAATGGTTCCATTGCCCATGTTGAGAATCCTTGTTGCTGCTTCCTCGTACCAGGCTCTTGGAGCATCACATAGGCCATACATTGGCTTGACCAACTTCATCAACTTGCCATGGCCTGGAGGTAGGCCCAAGAGAGCTTCGCCATCTCGAGGAAGCTTCACCCAAATGGTCCTGTTGGACTCAGGGCAGAATTTTCTGCCTTGCAAGAAGGCTGTTGAGATGTCGCTGGTGAAGATAGTCATGCCCATCATGGTGGCCACCGTCAGGATGTAGTTCCTTGACAAACGGGTCAAAGTAGGGCTCGCTGTCGACAAAGTTCCACCCAAGGCATCAGGGTCTTTGAATCCCTGCACCACCAGTCGGGCCTTTGCCCTGGGGGTCCCATCTTCGTTCTTCTTCCAGTTCAAGATGAACCTTGCCTTGAGCACCCTTTCCACAGGCGCATTTGACGCATCGTCAAAAAGCCAAACTTCGTTGTTGAAAAAGCTTTCCAGCTCCTTCTTCTTGGCCTCCATGAAGGTCAGCCGGTCGTCCAAGCTCAGGTTGCGCTCGGTCACCGGCGCATTGCTGGTGGTCTGGCTGGTGACATTGTCCTCGTTATAGAACATAGTCTCCTTCCCGTCGCTCTTCTCCATGTAGAGCTTCTGAGCTGTCTTGCGCCAGGAAGGTGCCAGCTTGAAGCGCGTGTAGCCTGTCCAGAACTTGGAGTTCAGCTTCTTGTTGACCGTAGGTCTTGTCCACCTGTCTCGAACCAAACTGGTTCCCATCTTCGTGTAGCGGTCCTTGGTGAAGTAGTTCAGCGGCAGTGGGCAATTGTCCTCCGTCAGCTGAAAGTCAGAGTTCCTGGGCACGTAGTGCTTTCTGGTCAGGTAGTTGCCTTCCAACTTCCACTCATCCTTGATGTCATCCATGACAATCATGCCCTTGTCCAAGCGCCATCCAGTTGGCAGGTTGTTCTCCTTCAAGAGGTCGATGTCGATGGTTGCGTTGAGCGCATCATCTC